TAATAATAATAATAATAATAATAATAATAATAATAATAATAATAATAATAATAATAATAATAATAATAATAATAATAATAATAATAATAATCAAATTAAAACATAAGCAATTTCATTTTACTGCTGCATCAGTGACCCCTATGTCCTTTCTCTTCCATTGGTCTCTGGCTTTGAGCAGTTCAGGTTTTTGTGAAGATGGCAGGGATTACCACATCATGTTACCACTTAATTTTCACTCTGTGTGAGTCTACAGAGGTATCTAAGCCAGGCTTTCTGAGCTCTGCTTGCCTTACTGCTTGGTCATCTGGCTGGATGCTAGTAGTAGATGCTTGTTCAAAAGCAGATGCTACTTTTTCTGTTTTTTCAGTTTTTAGGGCTGAATGTCCTCCCCACCTAATGGCAGAGCTGTAGCTGTCACATGACAGACTCTTTTTGTTAACTGCTGGGCAGAACAGTCTCTTTTCCACTGCTCTGTTGTTTGACAGTTGTATCTTTTGGCTTGCTTTTATAGAAAGTGTTTGGAGAATTAATGCATATATCTGGACAGTTAGTCCTTACTGCCCTTGCAAATCCCATAGTCACACCTGTCTGAATGCAGGATTTAGTAGCCTGTTGCTGTGACTGTTTTATAAAAAGAAATAATTATTGCAGGTTGACATAAATAGCAGCTAATTTTAACAAGATGCTCTGATGCTGTCACTGAAAATGTTTTCCTTTTGATCAGTAAGTGGTGTGGCTGGAGTGTTAATGTCTGATGCAGAGTCACACATACAGTCATAGAATATTTTGGGTTGCAGTAATCTGTGGAGGTCTCTGATCCAATCCTGAGCTCAAAATAACTAGATTATTTTATGAAGATCTAATGCTGGGATTATGTTTAAACATAAGAAAACTATTTGTTGGGATTGGGTTTTTTTTCCCAATAGTAAGGGTAGTGAGACATGGTACCAGTTTGGGCAGAGTTGTGTCTGTGCTTTGGTGTATTCAAAATCCAATTGGACACAGCCCTGAGCAATCCTGCTTTAAGCTGGAGAGGTTGAACCAGGTTTTAATTTCCAGAAATGCCTCCCAATCTCAGCAATTCTATGAAATGCAACAGCTTCCAGATATGACATGGTGGGGATAGGAAAATGAGCACAAAAGGAATGGAAGGGTAAACTGACTGAGTGCTTTGTTGTGAGCAGCAGTTTGGTGAGATGCTTAGCCCAAAGCACCAGACACTGCTTTTAAGGCTTAACCATGCAGCTTCTCAGGCTTAAATCTCTTTCCTGGCTTTTCACTACAGTATGAAAAAGCCCTCCTCAGACGCTATGTTGAGTGTTGCTCCAACCTGACATGGTGCACCAACCCTCAGGGCTGTGATCAGATCCTCCTTAAGGATGGACTGGGTTATGGAGCAGCCTGTTCCAAGTGCTCCTGGATATCCTGCTTCAACTGCAGCTTCCCAGAGGTGAGGCTGAGCTGGATCACAGGCTGCACTGTCCTAGGTTTGGCACACACCCTTGTGCTTTTGAGTGCTTGACTGATTGTCTTTCTCTGTCTCTCAGGCCCATTATCCTGCCAGCTGCAGCCACATGTCTCGGTGGGTGGATGATGATGGATACTATGAGGGAATGACAAGTGAAGCCCAAAGCAAGCACCTGGCTAAGCTCATTTCAAAGCACTGCCCAAACTGCCAGGCTCAGATAGAGAAAAATGAGGGGTGCCTGCAGTGAGTATGAAATTGTTGTGTTTGTGACTGGGTGGCACAGTCCCTGGCTGTGGTGTAGGGGAGCACTGTCAGGACTGAGGGATTCCCATTGTCCTTCTGCAGTATGACATGTGCAAAGTGTAATCATGGCTTCTGCTGGCGCTGCCTCAAGCCCTGGAGGCCGAACCACAAGGATTATTACAACTGCTCTGCTATGGTGAGTGGTTTGCTGGATTTCCTTGGTTCATGCTTGTGCTCAGAGACCCCTGTAGCCTCTCAGAGATGGTAAGCATCTCCACTTGGGCCCTTTGGACTTTGGGAATTTGCCAGTAATACTGGCATTTCCAGGTAGCCCTGGTACTCAGGGGAAATTGCTGCTAATAATTCCTGTACCTTTCCTTTCAGGTGAGTAAAGCAGCTTGGCAGGAGAAGCGTTTCCAGGATTACAATGAGAGATGCACCTTTCATCACCATGCAAGGGTAAGGTCTCCTCCTGCCTTTGCAGATGCTGTCTGCTGCTCAGCCCTGGTGAGCAGGGCACTTTGTGTTGTGTCAGTGTCCTCTCTGCTTAGAAGCAGGCTTCACATCCAGGCTGGGATCACTGGATGATCATTTTGCCCTGGCTCTGACATTAAGGAGCAGTCCTTGGCTGCTTTCTTCTATCCAGCCTGTTGTGGAAACTGAGCACCTGACTTGTGGTGTTGAGGGGCTCAGAGTGGTGCAGGAGTTGGAAGCAGTGGTGACTGAAGGCTGAGCTCTACTGTAAAAGGTTGAAGTGATGGCACAGTAGAAATGTCATAGCTGGATGCATTAAATGCTCTTCTGCTGCCTGCATCTTCTGGGATGGCACTTCAGAATGCTTAGCCATTATTTGTGTGGAAGGTGCTGTTTTTTCAGTCTTGTGGAGCTTGACAGTGACATTGACTCTTTCCTCCCCCCTCCTTTGGTTTTTGCAGGAATTTGCTGTAAGTCTGAGGAACAGCATTTCTTCCATCAGAGAGATGCCAAAAATTAGGAACTTGACCTTTGTTCTTGATGCCTGCAAAGTGCTAGAACAGGCACGGAAGGTAAGGCTGGGTAATATAGTCTTGCTGAGGTTTAGACTTAAATCTGCTGGTGTGAAGAGACACCAACCTTGTTCTTCTCCAAAAAAAGAGGAGACAAAGAAAGCTTGAGGGGAGGAGTAGCATCAGGACAGGGGAATAGCTCATGTCTGCCCTTCCCTGCTTTGAGTCTGAGTTGAACTCTGTTTGCAGTGTTCCTGACAGTAAGGTCATAGGATTTGGAGCTCAGTCATTAATTCATAACTGGAGTTTGCCACTTGTTGAAATGCCTTTGTTGTGGGCTCTTGGGGCTGCCCAGCACCATGCCTGCTTCCCTCTGGGCTCCATTCTCTTTGTTCAGCCTGGGCTGCCCAGCATTGCCTGTCCTCTGTGTTGATGGGTTTGACTTTTGGCTGCTGGTCAGTCACACTTGTTATGCATTTACAGCCTGTGTTCTTGTGATGGTTTGCAGGTGGGAAAAATCAGTTATTTTAGACTTCAATATAAAATAATTGCACATTCATTTCCAATCCTGCCAGTAGCTGGAGTTAGCCAACACTGCTGTCTCTTGTCATAATGGCTCACTGATAATAATGAGGTCTGGAGGGGTTTGATGCTGCTCCCTTCTCCCACTCTGAAGCTGAAGGAGGGAGCTTAACAAGGTGTTCTGTACTTTACCAGGTGCTGGCCTACTCCTGTGTGTACAGCTACTATAACCAGGACACTGAGAGCATGGATATTGTGGAACAGCAGACTGAGAGCCTGGAGCTGCTCACTAATGCTCTGCAGATCCTTCTGGGTATGTCCTGCAGCCTCCCTGAAGTTGTGACTGGCATGTGTAGCTCTAGCCAAAGAGCAGCAGCTCAGTAGTGGGGTGATAGCAAATACAGCAACACCCAGCTGGCCTCACTTCTCCCAGACCAGTCCTTGCCTGCTGGATGTCATTTCTGAGGAAATCCACTTGAGTTTGGCTGCCAGTGGAGGTTGATGCAGAAAGGAGCAGCATGTTCTGTTCTGAAAGAGGGATGCATTTGCACAGGGATCTGTGACGGTGTTCACAGGGGTTCTTGGATGAGGGAAGAGATGAGGATCTGACTCCATGTTTCAGAAGGCTTGATTTATTATTTTATGATATATATTACATTAAAACTATACTAAAAGAATAGAAGAAAAGTTTCATCAGAAGGCTAGCTAAGAATAGAAAAGAATGATAACAAAGGTTTGTGGCTTGGACTCTCTGTCCGAGCCAGCTGGGCTGTGATTGGCCATTAATTACAAACATCCAACATGGGCCAGTCATGAATCCACCTGTTGCATTCCACAGCAGCAGATAATCATTGTTTACATTTTGTTCTTGAGGCCTCTCAACTTCTCAGGAGGAAAAATCCTAAGGAAAGGATTTTTCCTAAAAGATGTCTGTGACAGGGATCTAAGCAACTATGGCTGTCTTCATAGTCAGAGCCAAGGATTTGGTCTCTCCTCAAGAGTGTGGGATGCAGCCTGACTTTGTTGGCCTTGAATTGCAGAGGAAACCCTGCTGCAGTACCAGGACCTGGCCACTTCCCTTCAGCTGCTGAAAGCAGAGCACTTCCACACGGGTTTGGAGTTGGTGCGGCAGATCAGGGAGCGGCTCTTTGCAATCCTCTGGCACTCCACACAGGTGAAGGCCACGTGGCTGCTCCTGCCTTGACTTACTCTTGTGGGGGAGATAAAGGGCTTGATCAGCTGAGGGGATAGACTCAGGGTTGTGTGTGTGCAGGGTAGGGGTTTGCAGCACAAATTACATGCTGTTTCTTCTCTATTGGCTGTTCTTTCCTGCTAACAGGATTTCCATGTTGGGCTCCAGACTTCAGGAGATGCTGTTCAGAGAAAGTTGAAACTTGCAAATGTGCCTGCTTCAGCCCTTGCATGTACAGGGTGAGTTTTCTTAGTGGGGTAACAGGGGAAGGTGAGTGAGTTTTCTCCTGTGCTCACTGACATACAAAAGAGTGAGTGGCAAACACTGATTACTTGCATCCTGTTTTGTGGTTAATTGCTACCTCCCCCTGAGGTAGCAATTTAAGTGATGTAGTGGTGTAGGGAAACGAGCAAAACTCCTGCTTGTGTGCAGCTGTGATCAAGAAAGCTCCATCACTGGCAGACTCAGTTATGGGAGCTGCTCTCCCTGGACTCTCCCAAGTTTCTTTGGCTGGGAATGCCGAGTTATGAATTAATGCTGAGGCAATGACAGGAGGGTGCTGTGGGGATGGGTCCCAGCTGCTGCTCACAGCTTTTGTGCTCTCCTCCTCAACAGGCAAAAGCGGATCCTCCTGTGTGACTCTCCCAACACAGATGAAGGTGGCAAGGATGTTGAGGATGAGGACTACGATCCACAGTGGCAGGAAGACTATGATGATGATGATGATGACCTTGATGAAGACAACTTTATGATTGATAACGATTCAGATTGTGATTCTTACTTTGATGACAATGACAGCTATCGTAGCTAACACTGGAAGGGTTCTGTCACCCAGCCTTGCCACCTTGGACCTCTGCCTCTACTTTTTCTCAACCAGTTTGTGTTACTGTTTTTCCTCAAAGGCAGGGAGGAGCTCTCAGATAGAACAAAATATTTCCTCTGGGAGGTTTCTTGCTCAGTGACACTTAAATGTGCAGGAACATGCTCTGGGTCTGTGTTACTGTGGCCACCTCTCAGAAAGACATCTCCTTGCTTCTTTCTCTTGTCTCCAGTTCTGCCTGTAGGTATTTCATTGAGTTAGAGAGCCCACCTGCAGAGTAAGGACCACGTGCCACCTGTTAAAGAGCTGCTCCTTGTCCTTGGTATGCTGTCCCCAAGGGCTGGGCACTGGGGAGGTGGCACATGTCCCAGCACAGCACTGTCTAGCAATGGCCAGTGTCTAGAAATGCTGTAAAAAGATGCATTTACACTCAAAGCTTCCCAGCTGGAGCTGGTGGGATTCTCTCCAGCCACAGATGGATGTGGTTCAGTTCCTCTGGTTGAGAGGAGCTGCATTTTTGCCCTTTGTTGGAGTTTTCTTCTCTGTTATGAAGCAGGAATGGCCACTATGAGTGACACAAGTTTGCGGGATTGTTTAAGTTTATAAATATATGCACACACATATATTTTATATACATATATATATATATGCAGAGGTTGTTCAGATAATAATGTATCTTTGCAAAAAAAGGAAAACTCTGAGGAACAAGGGTTGAAAAAAGTTCTGTTTAAAAAAATAAACAGTTTTCTTCTAGCACAAGCCTTCTTGTTGTCTGTGGGGAGCAGGGGAGGGGAGGGAGAGCAGGATATCCTCAAGTGAGGATGTGACCTGAGTGTGCTTATCCCAGAAGTTATTTGTGAAATTGGCTGGAAATCACGAATGAGTTGGGTTTGGAATGCTCACCCAGACCACCCAGTCTGCCCTGCCAAGTTCAGGGAACAGGGAAAGGGTGTGGGGAAGAGGGCAGGGGCCCAGGCCATACAGAGTAGTGGGGCTGGTGTTTGTGGGAGCAGGTGCAAGACAGGATGCCTGCATGTTGATGGAGGTGGTAACATCTGATGCCAGCAAAAGGGGACTGCTATCAGGGCTTGAGGGGGATTTGGGGGTTGTTTTGGAGATACAGGAGTCTCAGGGTCTGGATATCATCTGGAAGGGATGTGAGGTTCTTATGGGATGTTGGACAGGGACCAGCTGCCAGACATTAAAGAGAATATTATTAGTGCCTCACCATTTAGAACGAGGAATGTGCCCCACAAGGCAATTTCTAGCTGAGAGTCTGCTGCTCACCTTTTAGTGGCCATTGCCCTGCAGAACAGGAACTCAGGATCAAAATACATAATCAGCACCGTGTTCTGCTGCCAACAAGAGAAAGATTGGAAAGATTCTAACCAGTCACTACCAAAGAGATCACCAAAATAAAGTTAGAGTTACCTTTGAGTTCAGGGTTAGGGTTCATAGGGATAGAATTAGGTAGTGGAGTAAATATTAGATTTACAGTCATTTTGGTTACATTTAGGGTTAGGACAAGTGTAGGCCTTATATTTAAGGGGGGGGTTAGTTAAAATATTTTTAGGGATAGAGATACAGTTGTTAGGGTTAATGCTAGAGTTATGTTTAAGCTTAACTCTATTAACTGGGTAGCAGTTTCAATTGTTAGGGCTTATTTTTTGTCAGGGATATGGTCATCTAGGTTTATGGATTTTGTCGGGCAGGATTTTGGTTAGTGATAGGCACAGAATTATTGTTAGGGCTTTTCTCTGGAGTGGTGGCAGTGTGTTTGGTGAATATTATATGAGGAGAAGGCACAGGAGCAATTCTAGTAGTGAGAGTGTGACAATGACTGTATCTGTTTTGGCCATTATGTGCTTAGTAAGTTTTTCAATAATAAGTAATTCAAACAGGAATCCTGGTAGCAGGGGAAGTCCTGCTAGGAAGACTAAGACTAATATTGAGATTTTTACTCTGTGTGTGGATGTTACAGTGATTGACAAGGATGTTGGCCAACCAAATATCTCCCAAGGGTGCAGCCACCTCACTGGCCAGGACCTGAAGGGATTCAAACCAATGAGAGCATCCAGACTGGGTCTTTCAAACACCCTATATAAGGGAGGGATTGGGAAAGTGAAGTTTTCCTGTTGCCACATGAAGTTTGGGGTGAGTAATCTCTGTCTCCTGTGCCCTCACCCATTTTTCCTTCTTTAGGCCCTTATCATTTGTAGTTTTTGAGCTTTGTTTGTGTTAAGAGCAAGCACTGTTGTGGCAATTATCAGGAAGTATAAGTAGAAAGTTAGTATATATAAGCTATTTATATACATATATATGAAACTTATATATATATATATATATATATAACATATATATATATATATATATATATATATATAACATATATATATGTTGTAAGGAAGTATAAGTAGAAAGTTAGTATATAAAAGTTATATATATATTAAAAACATGTATATATAAACATATATATAAGGAAGTATAAGCAGAAAGTTACTATATATGCTATTTATTTATATATATATATATAAACTTTATATATATATAATTTTATATATATATAAGTTATAAGGAAGAATAAGTAGAACGTTAGTATATATGTTATTTATTTATATATATAAACATATATATAAACATATATATAAACTTACATATATATGTGTGTATATATATATATATATATATATATATAAAAGTTATAAGGAAGTATAAGTAGAAAGTTAGTAGGGGGTGTTTGGCTATTACAGCCATAATAATCATTAGGCTATTCAGCCCAAGTGAGAATGCTTAAGACTTTTCAAATCTGTGTTTGATTTAGTCCAGTTCAGTCTCCTAGAGCTGCTGAGGCAAGGATTATGGTGGTTAATAATTTTGAGTAGAGTGATTTGGAACAAGAATGGGTGGCAGTGAATTTAATTATTGCTGATAGCAGTGACTAGGGATTGAATACTCCTGTGAATCAGGAACGGAAAGGGTCTGGGACTGCAATTGTTGTTAGTAGGTTTAATTTGTTAATGTCACACTGGTTCTGCTTCAAAAGACAATGAATGCTAAGGCAGCTGCTTGTGCTAGGGAAGTGTTTGATTGTGGCTTCAGTGGCTCGTGGGTGGTGGGATTTGCAGGTTTGGAGATGAGTGGAATGATGGTGAGGGTGTTAATTCCTATTCTTCTTCAAGCCATCATTCAGTGGTTGCTCACAATTGTAAGGATTGCTCCTAGAATTAAGCTTGAGGAGGGGATTCACTTTGCATGTTACAGCTCCAGCACACAAAAAATAGATAAATCTAGCAAGAGATTTATCTGCTGCTCCTGGTTCTAGTACAGGACAATGAATGGGCTTTTTTTATGCACCTGCTCTCTAACATCATTGTAAGCAGCTTTTCTCCAGACTAAGATAACCTTATATATTTAATGATTCCTCTACCAGAAGCTGCTCAAAAGACTTTGATTAACTTTGGTGCCTTTCTCTGTACATTTTTTTTCTCTTCTGTGTGTGGACAAAGGTGGGTGCAGCACCCTCAGGGCAACCCCTGTGGTACCAGCATTGGCTCTGCATTTGTGGAGGAAAATAATCCTTTTTCAAGAGGGGTTTTACACCTCCAAAGTGTGAAAACCATCAATCACTTGTTTATTAAAATTTTAAAAGGTTAATGATAAAAAATGGTTATAAAAATAATAATATAATTAGACTAATAAAAGTTTTTGACAATTATAATTAGGACAATATGAGACAATAGAAATAAAGAGTTAGGGATGTCCAGGTGCCTTTTTCTGGGTAAAATAAGCCCGAAAAAGGACCCATGTTAACAGAAAATTAACCCTTAAAAGTAACAGCCTGTTGCATATTCATACACCTCATATATGATGCATAAATTCCATTCTAACACAGGATTCTGTCTGGTCAGTGTCAGCTTCTTCCTCTGAGTCCTGACTCTGTCTTCAGGGCTGAGCGAGGCAGGAAGAAGTTCGTTTCTTCTGATAAGGGAGCAATAAATTTTCTTTCTCTGAAAGATTCAGCTGTCCTGTGGCTGCTGTCTGGTGCGAGTCCTCTTTAAAAAAAGTGTTGTACATAGCACAGTTTCTATTTTAACATGATGTTATAACCTAAAACTCTATTTAACACACTACTTAAGAGAATTAACACAGCATAACTTAGTAACACAATACATATAATATTCATTTTAATATTTGCAAAAAGCCAATAATAAAATACACTTTTTTTTTTTTAGAAAAGCAGGCTTTGAGCATGGCATCCCCAGTGTCACCTGCATGGTGCTGCGTGTACCTCGGTCCCTTTGCTGCAGGAATTATCTGGTTGGGAGAGAAGAGAGCCCTGGTGGATCCAGAATCTGCAGTTCAATCCTGACATCTGCAGCTCCCGGCTGGAACTGCTGCAGCATCCCCTGCCCACCTGCAGCTGGGCACACCACCCCTGCTTTCAGTAACCCCTCGGGTGAAGCTGCTGGGGTTAAAATTCCTGGAAAAATTCACTTCTCTTCAAACAGCGCTTGGAAGAGAAGTGACTATACTGTAAATGAGATAGTCTTTTATCGGATGATTGAGTAGTTAAAACACACACCCCTGACAAATTAAGGAGAGATTAGCCTCGGGGGAGTGCCGCCTTATCAGCAGTACAGGGGCTTTTAGCCAGTGTTGTTTCCCAGAAGTTCTTGCACAACCTGTCTATTGCAAGAGCGGGGGGGGGGGGGGGAAAGTTTGTTCAAATACTTTGCCCAAGAGATTCCAATTTGCCAAAGCTTTTTATCCCTTCGGTGCTTTTTTTCATGAAATCATGGAAAGGTTTAGGTTGAAAGGGACCTTCAAGATCAGTCCCCTGTCACTAAACCAGATCTTCTGCTGGTGTGTGCCCAGCTGGATCCCAGAGCTGTCACCATCCCCATCTGATCTCACCATTTCAGATCCCTGTGCTGGAGAAGAGCATTGTGCTCCATCCATCTGAGCTCCTGTGTTAGTGTGACATGGCTGGATTGATGAAGTCCTCGTTAAATCACAGCATATCTCATCAAAATCAAAGAGAAACAATCTGTTCCTGACCTAAACGTTTCTACCTCTGACTTTCTGCCACTGGGTACACTTGAGCCTTGGGCCTCTCTAAAAGCTCTTGCATTGTTCAGTCAAACATAAAAGGCAGTTTTGGAAATCCTGTCCCCTTTTTTATTGAATCACTTTGGAGCTAGAGAAGGAAATAATTCTTCTATGCCTTGGTTGATTGGACAGAATAAATTAATCCATAAAGTTGTCTTGAAAGCCATGAAGGCCTAATGGCAGTTACTTTTTGTTAATGCTGTGTTAAAAATACATCGTTATATTCAAATTGTCAAATCATGCAAAATTCCCATCTCAGTAACAGCAGTCTGTTCATTAGAGAAATGATTTTTCTTTTGGGATGTGTGACTCATGCATCCCTCTAATGCAGTTCAGTGGGAATGTGTGTCAAACCACCACTGTCCTGGCAGCACAGAGGGCACATCCTGAGGCACAGTGATGATACCACAGCTTCCTGAACTTTTCAGCAGCTCCTGGCCCAGTTTGATGCTTCCAGCTTGACAATCAAAGCTGTTTGCTCAGCCTGCTGCCTTTTGGATGTGGCTGCTGTCCCACAGCATGACCCTCTCCCAGCCTTGGGAACAAGGAGAGTAATAAGGCCTTAAAGTGAAATTGCACAAGGGAAAAAGCCCAGAAATTATTTTTACAAATGTGGTTTAATGGGAAAAGGCTTCTTCTATTCC